TCAGAGGTGGGTTCCTACCGGTTCAGCCGAACAGGTAGTAACTCAGCCAGACACATGACTGTACCTGTTCTATCCTGGGTGCCACCATATTTATTTTCTATTCCCCACATGCGCAGAACAATCTTCATTGAAAAAATGTAATTTTCCCCCTTTTTTTAATGGTGTGCGCATGCCACTCCGAGATGGGCCTTTTTTTCACAAAAATGGAGGCGCTTTTGCCTTCCCCCAGCGTCCAGAAGCACTCTGCAGGCTTCAGCAGGGCTGGGAAAAGGGAAAATGCCCGTTTTTGCAAAAAACAGGCAAAAGTGGGCCATTTTTTACAAAAACTGAGGCATTTTTGCCTTCCCCAGCTCCCAGAAGCACTCTGCAGGGCTTCGGTGGGCATAGCTTGGTGAGGGGATCATGTGACTGACTGTGCATGAGTGATGTCAAGTTGGTCACACCCACTCAGTCATATGCCCCCCATCTAGCCATTCTCACTGAACCAGTAGTAAAAAAATTTGAAACCCACCCCTGCCCATCTTCATAACTTACCTGGAAGCTATTGCAATACTTTGTTTTCCCCCGAAAATACAACCTGTCCTGAAACTAATGCCTTGTTACATTTTTCACGTGGACAAAAATATAAGCCCACCCCTGAAAATAAGGCCCCAGGACAAACCCCCCCCCCTCCGGCCAGGCAGAGCGCCATTCATCGACCTAGCGGTATCCTGAAGGCGTTCTATGGTTGTGGGCTGGCTGCTAGAAGACTCTCTTTCCGGAAGACTCTCTGTCCAGCAGCCAGCCCACAACCATAGAACACACTCCACAGCGGCCGCTGCTGGAAGACTCGGCAGCCGAGTTTTGGAGTTTGGAAGCAGGAGAAGAAGTTATGCTCCGAGCACGGCGGGGGTGGAACAGGAGCTCGCGCAACCCCCCTCTCCAGCCGGTCAGAGCTCCATGCACTGACCTAAGGGGGGGTATCCTGAATGTGCCAAGTCACGGGAGCTGGGGAGTGGGCAGAGCGCCACGTGCCTTGGCGCCTTAGGGATACCCCCTAGGTCAGTAAATGGCGCTCTGCCCGGCTGGTGAGGGGAGTTGCCAGGTGGCTGTTCATGAGCGTAGTCACCTCCTGGCTGCTTCACTCCTGAGGCTATGCCTGGCTCTTCAGGAGCCAGTTCGCAAGGGAGCAGCTGCCCGGCAACCCCAAAACAATAAGCCCTCCCTCTATNTGAAAAAGTTTGCTCTCTTTAAATTATCAACTCACAGTACAATTTAAGATGCTCTTCTTTGAGCAAAAACGAAATGGAGTGAAGATACCATTGACGGTAATGAAAACTGGAAATCAAATGTGCAGACTGAATAAAATCAGAAGCACAATATGATCTGCAGAGTGGATTTATAATCTGTTTAATGGATTGCACTAAGTTAGGACTTATTCCACTTTGTTTTCCTGCACAGGCCTCAAATCCAGAAGTTCGGACCTGTTCAGCCGTGTAGGTAGTAACTCGGCCGGCCATGCCTCCGAACAGGTTCTATTGGCAGCGCCATAGGCATAGCCATTTTTTCTTGCTTTTGCACATGTGCAGAAGCAATTTGTTACTACTGCACAAGCGTGCATTAAGTGTGTGCACGCCCAAAGCAAACTGGCAGTAACAGAAGCCGGAACCCATCCCTGATGCTATCATATTACTGGCAAAGTGAGTTACGTCCTGAATCTGCCTTAACTCTAAAAAGTTTCCAAAAGGCTTGTGCCCACCCCCTCATTCACAACATCATTCAAATCCCCAGGAATATTACCTCTCTTGGCTCACTAGCCAGGGCAACAGTGCCGTCGCTGTTGTATTTGATTGGAGACCCCCCTTCTTGCACTAACGTCCCATACCCCGTACTGGTGAAGAAAGCTGGGATGCCAGCTCCTCCTGCTCGGATCCGCTCAGCAAGGGTACCCTAGAAAAAACAAAAGGCTTAATGGCTGGCAAGACAAGACAGATGTAAAGGAGGCCTGTAACTCATAATAGTACATCAATTCTTTGACAATTCAATTCAATTCAATTCAATTTACTGAACTTGTATGCCACCCTATTCCCGGAGGAACAAAAGTTGCTAAGGGACCTTTTCTTCTTTCCTAAATCCACTGAGATGGCTCCCAAATACTGCAAGAGGATTTCCATAGAATACTCATTCCTAAGAAATAGGAACAGAGATTCAAACTTTCTAATTTTTAATATTAGTTTATTACTAAGCAATAATAAAATAAGGTCAATGATTAGCAGGGTCAATCATCATCATCACCTTAATGTTACCAATATTTCATTTCTGAAACACCTGGCATGTACTTTCCAAACTTTTCTCCTTATTTAATGTTCCTTACTTGAAACTCAACTTTAAAAAAACTAAGATCATGGCCTCCTTCCCTCTCAATTCCTGGAAAATAGATGGGGAAGAAATGGAGGTAGTGACAGATTTCATTTTCCTGGGTGCCAAGATTACTGCAGATGGGGACTGCAGCCAAAAAATCAAAAGACGCTTAATCCTGGTGAGGAAAGCTATAGCAAATCTAGACAACATATTAAAAAGCAGAGATAATCACCATGCCAAGTGCATAAAGTCAAGGCTATGATTTTCCCAGTTGCAATGTATGGCTGTGAAAGTTGGACCANGGGGAGTTGTGATACATCACGTGATGATGCCATGACGCCGCAGGTTTGACACTCCTGTAGTAAATGAACCATTTCCTTTACTAAGCAGTGTATCTTTTTGGCAACCTTGAAAGTATCTGCTTTCAAATTCACTGGAATTAGTTCTAGCATTTTGCCCTTCAATTATTGAGCACATTCTTGATTTTATAAATAACCTTGATTTTATAAATAATTGTTGCTTGTCCTCTTATGAACATAGAAATCAAGACTCAGCAAATGTTTTCATAGGTATGGTGTAGACAACAGAGCAAAAACGAGACAGGAATTCTTAAGCTTGTGACAGCACATCAACTGATGGCGAATTAAGAATAGGTCACACTGAAACTTACGCAATACTACATATGCCCACAGTGGCTTGTATGCCAAGCCAAAATTACAAAATAAAAAACATACCTGGCCCCCAACCAGAAGAGAATTCACACTGCACAGACATAATTTGTATAATATTATGAATTGTGCTTTCAAAAATGAAATTGCAAGAAATACGGTGTTTATGCCTATCTACTACTCTGAAATGTGGAGCATCTACTTAAATCTACTTGGTCTTATATAAAGACAAATATTTACATCACTTATAAAATCAATGATACTAATTTCAACATGAGCACCTATATGAATCAAGATTACATGTACAGAGGGGAAAAAAACCCTGCATTTGCTTCTTTTAATCCTAAGAATCAGTCTAGCACATACTGTATATATCTAGTCAAAATTCCAAAGTCAAAAAAAGATATATACGATCAAGGCCCAGATGTGACATATGAGGACAGCTGGTTCATCAAAAAGCCTAAATGAAGAGAAATTATAAATTTGAATTCTGATGCTGGACAAAGTTATTGAGAATACCTTGAATTTTAACAAAGTACAAACTAGCTGATAACATGGCATTGTCCAGGTATTTATTTATAGGGTGAAAATGTCCAGACCGAACATTATTTACAGGGGGAAATGTCCGGACCAAACGTAATTTATAATGTTGGATTTTCCCTCTTACAAGAGGGAGCCCTCTTGTGGAGTATTGTGAAGCCATTACCATGGCAACTCCACTGTGATGTAAAATAGAAGCCTTTTTACGGCAGTACAGTAGAAGCCATTTGAAGACACAACAGGCTGTAGTGTAACAGAACACGGTCCCCAAGGGGGTGTTAGGGTGTCTTACCCCCACAGTATTTGTTTCCCAAGAGTAAGTCATTTGTGTACCAAGTTCAATTGAAATTGCTCGAGGCATTCCAGAGTTATGCTGGAACATACACACACACAAACACACTTATACCCACAGAGCCATTTATATTGTGTGTGTGTGTGTGTGTGTGTGTGTGTGTGTGTGTATGTGTGTGTGTGTATATGTATGTATATATACACAAAATGA